TCTTAAAAAAAAAAAAAAAGTTTTTATTGAATAAAATATCTCTAATTCTTTTAAATAAGTATTTTTGATAAAATACGTCTAATTCTTTTAATTTAAATTAATAATTTTAAATTCTTTTTACCAAATATATCTAATTAAATTTATATAATGAAAGGTATTTCTTTTAATAAATTTAAGTTTATAATCATAAACTTAGATAAATGTTATAATTTTTATCTTTCTGTTAAGTTTGTTCTAATTTGTCTCATTCATTTAAAAATTCCACAGAAACTTACTAATTTAATAATCAATACACAACGTCTACGGTTAAATAACTCGGCCAAAACTTATAAATTTAGAACAATTCTAATGTCGATTTTGTCTAAATCCTATCAATTATTTTCCTACGAAAACATGTGTTTTCTTATTCATTTGACACATAAGATTACTTTTTTCAACAAATTTTCAAATGAAAATACGTCGAATGATAAATTGTGTGACATATTTTTAAATTCAAGGTGAAAATTACAATATTGTCCAATTGTAAGGTGCAAATTGATAAACATCGTCAAATTCTAGTATAAAATTGATATTTTTCGATTATTTTATTTTTATGCATTTGTGTCCCTCTTGACATAGAATCCTGGATCCATCACTGTATGCAGGTCGGGTCGATATGCTCGATATGCTCGATATTCTTCCATTGTGCACTCGATCGTAAATCAGGGCACTCAGCGCCACGACTCCGAACATGTTTTTGTATACCTGCACCAAAAAAACTTCACGTGGCGTGCTGAATATTTTACCCCTAACATGGTAAGAGAAAGAGAAGAGATATAATCTAAAACAATGTTATAGTAGCCATTTTTGAAAGATGCATCCGTGCCGAAATAAATGTCTTCCATTTTTGTCAGGTGGCGTTGGCTTTACGTTTCAATTAAAAATGTATTGTTCATTTGACTTTTTTGACTTTGATGCATAGAAGTTAGTATGGTTGTTAGAATAAAGAGTATTATTTCGTAGTTAAACCGAGTCCAACGATAATTGGTGTTATTAAAAATTGTGAGTTCGATCTCCTATCCCTTATTACTTAGTATGCAAAAGAAAGAAAAAGAGTATTGTTTGGAGTTTGAATTTGAACTGTCATGATTGCATTGTTATACATAAATATCCAATCAAATTTGTTAAGGTTGAAAAATTAATGGAACAAATATCTAAACATGTTTTTTTTGTCTCTCTGTCAAAATTAACTTTTATCAGTCTCGCAATTTATGACTGAAACATTGGATTTCTTTTTTCTTTTAACGACCATCCTAACAGAAGATTGAATAAATACAAATATGTCAAAAAGAGAAATGTTTCAAATAGATTCAGCAATTTTAAAGTAAAAAGATTGTAGGTTGTAACACATACCTATCTTTCTAAAATTGAAAATGTGGGGACAATGATATTGGATAATGTAAGACAATGATCAAATACGTGGAGAACAATATTTGTCTTTAAAGGATATAGAAAACGTCAAATGTGTTTTGGAGTTCAAAACGTATGTTATGGGTAATTGAGAGTTTGACAATTTAGAGTTTGGTAAATAGTTAGGTGAAAATTTAATATATTATAAATGCTTATTTATTCACCATGAGGGCAAATTCGTCTTTCCACAATGTTAAAAAATGGAAGGGGTAAAAAATAAGGAGGGACAGGGTCACAAATAAGGATTTTCTAGGAGTCATAAATCTAAAATCAATTTTTGAAAGGTTATAAATCCAAGTTTCCCAAACTTGAAGAACTACAGCAATAATTCAGTATTTCTATTATTCTTAAAAATCATTAATAATTAAATCAACGAGCGTGTGGAATGGTATCCAACCCAACAACTCTCCTAAATTAATATTAAAAGTCATGTTTTTCCAACCATTACTTTGACCTATATTCTTTAATAAAATGAAATAAAATATATTTATTTGTATATATTAGTAAGAAACACGTGTGATGTACGTGAAATTTCATAGTTTTTATTTTAATATTTAAAAAATATAAAATTTAATTAAATAGTTAAAATTTATAATCTAATTTGGTTCTTTTTATCTCTAAATGTTTACCTCACCAAGTTTTTTCGTATTTTCAATGTTTATCTCATAGAAACAACGTCTCAATAGTTCTCATCACCCACTGATGCGGTTAGTGTGACTAAATGTATTATTCTTCAATTACTTAAAAAAAATTTCTAAAAAAACACATATTCATGGACTTGTCATTTTTTTCCCTAAACATAACAATACATACAAGTAAATAAAACTTTGTTTTAATTTCTTATAGTCATTGAAAAAAAAAATGACAAAAAAAAAATAGTGAGAGACAGAGATGCGTTCAGGACAACCGTTCTTTGCCATGTTCGAGTTCTGGTCCAATTCCTTGCCCTAGCTCATCGAGAATGCCAACCGCAGCCATGTTCCGATGGATTGCTCCGGCTATTTTCATCACACGATGATCACCTTACGAAGGAGGAGGTCATTGAGAGAGTCTTCGCAATTATCAAGTGTCATCCCAAAGTGGATCCGTCCAAGGTGATTCGATCTTATCACTCATTTTCCCTTTCCTTTTTCCAGTTGATTGAGTTGTTTGGAAAAAAATAACTAAAAAAAGTTGAATATTTGATCAAACAATCTAACTAAATATAAGAAAACACAAGACGTTGACTAAAGGAGAAAATTAACATACCGAAAGAGAAAAGAAACTCAACTTTTGATGAAGAAAAAGTTGGGAGAAAGAGTAAGAAAAAAACTCTTTATATAGTTGTAGAAAATAAAAAGTTACAAAATTTTTGAAATTCCTTATTAATTATAATTCAAAATAAGTTATAAGTTTTCAACATAGAAATAAAGAGACAAAACTCTCCCTATTCTAACTCTTTATATTATATATACTAGAGGTGTTTGGTAAGTTCGAGGTATCTTCTTCTTTCAACCAAACCTTAAGCCACTGTATTAGTCATATGAATAATTTCTTATGTATTCAATTGATCATTCCATGTAAACTGGAAAATAAAACATTAATCATTCAGGGTTTGTTTGATGACGTTTTTTGTTTTTAATTTTCTTAAGAAATTAAATATTTTACGACTAACTATGTTTCTAGTTTCTCATTTTTTTGGGAACCTTCTCAAAGTTATAGAGAAATTTTGGAAACAACCAAAATAAGTTTATTAACCAAAACAAGTTTATTCTTTTCTTGTTAGCATTTTCAATTTGTTCCAAAATATAAATAAAAAAAATTGTTTTATCATATTTGAATTCATAGATATTGGGTTATGCAATTCATTTTTCTTTTATTAAAAATGAAGAAACATAAATAAAAAATTGAAATGTTACCGAACAGTCTTCAAATACTCCGTTCCATATAAATTGGGATCACTCACCAATTGGGGTGGGATATTTGAGCAACATTTTATGAGAAAATATTACCTTTATTTTGATATCTCAAACAAATTAATTAAAGTTTTCACTTTATTTGGGGATAGAATATAATAGGTAGAGCGAGCTCTCAATTTCCTTAAGCTCAAAATCGCATGGAGCACAAATAGCAACCTACGTGTGGAGATTTAATTACGTAAACAAAAGACCTTTGTGATATCAAGCTGATGTAAGGACAGCTAGGATTTGATAGTCTTTCATCATCATCATTATTAATTTAATTTTTTTAAATGAGAGATTAATTTATAACATTATCAAATATGAACAGGCTGGCAGTATTATTAATCCTTAATTTTTCTTGTTTGTGTTCAATTTTGATTCAAACTTGTGTGTTTATAAATACCAAATATGGTTGAAAATTCCCAAGGAACAAACCAACTCTCTCTCCCTCTCTCTCTCCACACAATATAGTTTTTGTTTTGAAAAGCATGAAGCATAATTCTATGGATACCTTTCTCCTACTTTTCATTATCTCTATCTTTCACTTCCAATTGGGGGTCCTCTCCTCACATACTATCTCCAATCAAGGTAATCTCTCCTCTCTCTCTGGCTCTCAACTAGTTCTTATTTTACGCATGCGGTCCATCCAAAAACTCTCGCTTCAATGAAATCATATTTGGCACCAAACTAATATCAATATTCATAGATTTCATTTTAAAATAAATTAGTAATGAAAGAAATAGTCAACTTATATTCTAAATTCTTGTTGAGGTCCATCATTTTTTCAAGAAGTGGAATCCTTAACAACTAAATTTGATCCAAGCAAAAAATCAACAATTGAATTAATCTCCTAAAATTCACAAATTTCAACAAATAGGTGTTGTTTTTGGTATTTTATACTTCACTAGAAGCACATGAAAATACTTTTCATTTTTAACGGTTCTTCAAATAAAATCTTATCAAAAGGTCGAAATTGCAAAACTTTTTTAGGTTTAAGATAAAAATGGTAACATTTAGTGAACATTTAATTTGATTATAAATGAAAGCCTAAGATAAAGATTGATATACAATACCAAGTTCACAATAAATAATTAAAGATTATTGATTTTCTCTTTTTTTTCCTCTTCACAGATGTTAGCTACATGAAGTTTGTACACGATGCCAAAGATTTACCAGAAACAGGAGAATATGACTACATTATAGTAGGGGGAGGAGCTGCAGGCTGTCCATTAGCCACAACATTATCATCAAAATTCTCGATCCTCATCCTCGAAAGAGGCAGCGAACCCAATAAATTCCCCTCTGTATTGACTGAACAAGGTCGTTCCAAAGCTTTTACCGCAGAAGATGACGGCAAAAATCCCTTCCAGCGATTCGTCTCTGAGGATGGTGTAGAGAATCTAAGAGGGCGGGTTCTCGGCGGCGGTACCATGATAAATGGCGGTTTCTACTCAAGGGGCCATCGAGAATTCTTCGACACAGCAGGCGTGGAGTGGGACATGGAATTGGTGGAGAAGGCCTATCAATGGGTGGAAGAGACTGTGGTGTCTCGCCCGAATTTGAGTGCTTGGCAATCTGCTTTTAGAAGTGCTTTGTTGGAAAGTGGTGTACTCCCTGATAATGGGTTTGATTTGAGGCATCTTGTGGGGACTAGAATTGGAGGTTCCACTTTTGATGGAAAAGGGAACAGACATGGAGCTGTGGAGCTTCTCAATAAAGCCAATCCCGCAAATCTTAAAGTTGTCATCCGGGCCACAGTTGAAAGAATCATCTTCTCGGGTAAGTCATAATAAATCTTACATTTGGTAAAAAGATGATGTAACAATATTATTGAATTTACAGGTCTATCTGCAAGTGGGGTTTCATATTCTGATTCTGAAGGAAAATTGCACACAGCATTCATACGAAAGAAAGGAGAGATTTTTCTAAGTGCTGGAGCCATTGGAAGCCCTCAACTTCTCCTCCTAAGTGGAGTTGGCCCAAAATCCGATCTTTCATCCTTAAAACTACCTGTCGTCCTCCACCAACCACATGTCGGCCAATTCATGTCCGACAACCCCCGTTTTGTTACTAACATCGTACTTCCATTCCCAATAGTCTCCACAACCGGAAAAGTGGTTGGAACTTTGAAGAACAATATCCATTTCCAATCTTTCGCCGGCTCTTCACTGTTCTCAGTCCCCCCATCTTTTAGTCTCCTCCCTCCTCGATCTAATTCAGTAAATATGAGCTTAGCCACTGTTGTCGGAAAATTCTCTAAAGTGGATTCTATGGGGTCCCTCCGCTTGAATTCTTCCACTGATGTGAAAAAGAGTCCCATTGTCCGATTCAATTACTATTCTCATCCTGATGATCTTGCGCGGTGTGTTGTAGGAGTAAGAAAAATTGGGGATTTGATTAAAACCCCAACCATGGAAAAGATTAAGACCAGAAATTTTGAGGGTAAGAAAGTATTTCAGTTTTTGGGGCCTCCATTGCCGGAAAATTTGTCGGATTATAGTTCTGTTGGAGAGTTCTGTCATAAAACGTTGACAACTTATTGGCATTACCACGGCGGTTGTTTGGTCGGAAAAGTTGTCGATGGCGATTACAGAGTCATCGGAATCGGAAATCTTCGCGTAGTGGATGGCTCCACTTTCACAGAGTCGCCTGGAACCAATCCTATGGCCACCCTCATGATGCTCGGCCGGTAAGTTATTTTATATAATAATTTTATAAAATTATTTACACACTTTCTTCTCTTTTATATAATAAGTTTTTCTTTTTCCTTTTTCTTTTTCTTTTTTTCTCAAAGAACAAAAATTGGTCACTTTCTCTCTCTCTCATTTTTTTGTCTCGGGTATTTTAATAATGTTTTTGACTTTTAAATATTTGTGTTCTATTATCCAATTTTTATATATTTTTTATAAGTATTTTTTAAAGGAAGAGCAAGGGGACAAAATATGTTTGAAAGATTTTTATTTATTTATTTTTTTGAGAAAACGACGCACCAACTAATTCAAGGAGTATATAAGAAACATGTACTAGTAGAAGAAGGGAGGCTAAATAAAAGTACTCCAATTTATAGAAATGATAAACATGTTGTAATTGAAAGAAAATTTGATTTTGTGGACCAAGAAGAAGCAGTCATTTTGATATCATCCTACGGATGAGTCGATGACTTGAAAATGCCTATGTAAAGACCACGATTCTCCTTATTAAGGTTGGGATGGAAATACTGTTATTTAAAAAACCATTTTTAAAGTTGTTAAATTTTAAAATTTACTACTTGTTTTCTTAAATTTAGCTAGGGTTTCTAAAAGTCAAGAAATAAAATATAATTGTTAATTTGCTAGCACAATTTTTTAAAAAAAGTAAAGACAAAAACATCATCATCATTATAATAATATAATAATAGTAGAATACAGGAGATTCAAATTCATGACATTTTGATTGGAGTTAGATGCCTTAACTCTTAACCAGTTGAGCTATATTCAGATTAACTTAAAAGTTAAAAATATATGTGAACGGTTATCATCTTGAACATAGCTCAACAATTTAAGATGCATATTATTTCTAACCATGTTGTGAATTCAAATTTCCACCCGAGTTGTTGTACTAACATTATTAGAATGATTAATTTTTTTTACTATATTTAGAAGTAAATTGATTATTTAAAAATTGACAATGGTATAATTATTTCTTAAAAAACAATTAGTAGAAGTTTCTGCCTTAAGTTGTGCTTGGGATTAGTAGAAATTTCTTTTATTGCTATAAACTAACAATTTAAAAATTATTTTTCAGGTATGTTGGCCTCAAGGTAATGCAACAAAGATATTAAATTGGAGTGTAAACTAAAGACCATCTCTCACAAGTTATTATTTATCAAGTGCTGTATTTTGGTAATTTCTTTCCTGTTTCCATTTGGTACACCCACCTTAGTTAGACTTTCTCAATCATTTTGTGAAAAGAAAGAAAAATAGCATACATAGAAATCTTTTTTGTATTAATCTATTATAATAAAATTTATTGAATTCTAAAGAATTTAAAGGATATGAAAATGACCATCTACTTAAGATTTAGTATCCAACAAGTTTACTCGATAACTAAATATTGTAGGGTTAGACTATTGTTTCATGAGATTAGTGGATATGTGCATAATCTGGTCTGAAGACTCATAATTATCAAAAAAAAATAAATAAATAAAATTTATAGTAGTTGTGATTTTAATGYGCTTCCTATTTGTTTTAGCATTTATAATATAATCAGTGTTCCAGCCTGATTAGATTAATTAACATCTTTTTATTCGCAGTCCTTTTAAGAGAAAAAAGAGTTTTAGAGTCGGGAAATAACTTGTCACCTCTGTCTAATTGAATTTTCATATTACTTAAATAAAGTTTATAAACTATGCTTATTTGTTTTAATCGAACAAAAATTAATTAATTAAATATTTAAAATACATTTGAATAAGAAATCTATTTCTTGTTAAATTGCATACAATTTTAAGAACACGCCAATAGTAAAAAACAGATACAAAATGCATGTACCCCAAAATTTTGTATTTTAGAAGTTTAGGTGGTTTCCTAGAAGCTAGTTATTGTAGCCTTTTTCAGTCTAAAGTGTGGATCTGAAATTACCTTTCTCTCTTTAA